TCACCTTGATCTTGGACTTCCAGTCTCCAGAACTGTGAGAAAATTAATTTCTGTCACTTAAGCCACCCTGTCCGTAGAACTTTGTCTTGGGACCCAAGCACACTAAGACAAGGCCTCAATCTAAATGTGCCAGGTATGAGCATGGCCTGAATCCTGGGGGGCAGCAGAGCTGGCGGCATGAGTGGTGTGTGCAGAGCTGACCGCGTACCAGGCCGCCCACTCACGTAGGTGTGACGACAGCTGTCCCAGGAACCCCTGGGCAGGGGCCTTGGTTCCCTCAGGAACTCTGCTTCTCAGCTGAGGTCCAGCCCTCTGCCCAGGGCCAGAGGACTAGCGCCTGCTGCAGCCAGGATGTAGACTGAGGCACAAGCTGTCCAGCTTTTCCGAATCTCATGTCCCCTTCTGTGAGCCCGGCGGTGTGAACCCAAGGGTGCTGCTGTTTCATGAGCCAACCCCCAGAAGGCTGCTCCTGGGGGCTGACTGGCTGGGAGCTGCAGATGGTCAGGGACTGTTATTTAGAAGGACACTCCCTCCTCCCCGCATGGAAACTAGGAAAAGTAAGTTTTAGACCAAATTGATGAATCCCCCTACAGTTATCTTGAAGGTCCTTCAGTCCAGGTGCCTCAAGCCCCGCTGCACCGGGGGCGGCCCTCAGGGAAAATGCAGGGTCCTGAAGGCTCAGGGCTGAGCTTCCCCAGGGCTCCCAGCTTCCAGGCTTCCTCTCAGCTGGGCTTCCCCATCCAAGCTGACCCCCATTGCCACGCCTCGCCAGCCCACGCCAGGCCTGTCCCCCCAGGAAGCCAACTTGCCTCTCGGGCTTGGGCCTCCAAGGTGCTGCGTGTACTTGGCTAAAAGTTCCCCAGACTTGATTACACTGGAAGCGAACCCAATTAAAAGCAGGCCTCCCTGGAGAGGCAGGCTGCCCTCACCGCCCTGTGAACGGGGACACGGGCCTAAGGAGAGTGTCGCGCCACGGCGGCACCACTCAGAGGCCTGTGGACAACCCTTGCTCTATGTGACCTGCCTCCACAAGCTTCTCGGGAGTGACGTCCCCCCAGCCTGCGTGACTCCCCCAAACTCTGGAGTCCCTCTTAATTCTCTTCCTTATTCCTTAGCCCCATGCTTCCTCTCCTTGGGTCTTTCTGCCTTTGCTGTGACCTCTGTTGATACAACCATCCCAGGAAGGAGAGGAGAATGTTCTGGAACACTCCTGGAGGAGGCTTTTCCTCTGCTCTGTTTAATGATATTGAAGGACATGCCCATAAGCTAGTGGTTAAGACAGACAAATAGACCTGACACCAACACGCAGGCGCGAACACTCCGCTGGTTAGGCCCACCCGCCTTCTCCACGGGCCTAGCTGGGGACACCTGCCCTCTCCACTTAGCCCCGCACACTCACCCACACACAAACCTACACACTCACCCACACACAAACCTACACACTCACCCACACACAAACATACACACGCATACCCTCACTGACACAAACCCACCCTCACACACTCCTCACACCCACACACTCACATGCACACTCAGGTGACACTCTCAGGTCCTGTGCTCCAGTCCCTTCTGCAGCCCCTTTGTTGCTCTGGGGCACACAGGAGTGCAAGAGGAGGGGGCCGCCCCTCTGTGCTCCGCCTCTCCCAGCTTCCTCCCCTGCCCCACTCCCCTCCCTCACACCGGACTCCTGAAACACAGGCCCGGCCCCAGGGGATCTCCATTTGAAATTTAGGAATGATGAGTTTAGGACTCTGACATTTATTTCAAAAAGGTCCACTACCATGGGGGACAGACTCTAAGGAGCCCCATGGCCGCCCTGGGTTCACTCCTGCTTAAGCCCCTCTCTGGAGGGTGAGCGGCTCCGTGACTCGGCTTTGAACCAAGAAGGTGGCAAAGGTGCCAGGAGGCCAGGCCGTCCTCCGGCCACATGATTAAGGCTCTGTCCTGCCAGCAGGGCTCTGTGCCAGCTGACACGGTAAGCGCCATGTCGGGAAACCCACCTCCAAAAGCCTCGGGTCACCTCTGGAGGGCCTCCGTCCCACAGCCCTGAGGAATGCATTCTGCACACTCAAGTGAGTCTCGGGCCCATTTTCCCCAATCAGGCCTCCAGCGGAGGCACAGCTTGGCAGACACCTGGCGGGCAGCCTCAGGACCCTGGCAGAGGCCCCCTGAGCCATATCTGTACTCCCAACCCACAGGAGTTGTAGTCTATCGATTTAAGGCAAGATGTGCCTTAAATCGATACACTACAACTGTTACCCAGCAATCAATGGCAAAGCCACCTCTGTGACCAGCTTCGTCTTCTTTCAGTGTTTGTCTTCATTCTGATGGTAAAACAAAGGCATCATCCTAGAAAACATGGAAGGGGGACATATAAAGGAGAAATGAAAATCGGCCACATCCCTGCTGGGCTTGCCGTGTGCCGGGTGCTGGACAGTGTGCTTTTCTGAGCGTGTCCCCGCAGCACCCTGGCAAGGGCTGGAGTCCTGTCTGGATCCCAGGACAGACAGAAGGGGCGGACACAGGGTGAACCAACGTCTGCCCAAGTTGACAGCCAGAGCGTCCAAGCCACTGTGTCAGAGGTCCTCGGCTGAGACACTTTCAGACACATTTTGGCAGCAAGCTCCAAGAGATTTTAAGGTTTGAAACAATGTTGCTCAAGTCTGGAAAAATAAAAAATAACCACCATTACATTTTAACAATGTCTCAGAGAGTCAATGAAGGCACCCGACTGTGGCACTGATTACCCGGTGGACTTTCTTTATGTATCACTGTTTAGGAAGAATGACTTTTGGCCAAATCCACATTATATTTAAGCCTCGGGAAGCAAACTCCATGCATTTTTTCCAGTACCATTTCTTTGACCTTGACTTGACTTTGCCATATCATTTCCCTTTCTCTTGCAGTGAATGGTCCTTTACTCAACTTGGTGTAGCATGACCTGTCATTGATAAGGACCCATGAGCTCATACCAACTGAGCACTTAGCATATGCCAGGCACATTAGGCATGTTTAATGAGAAACTACATTGGGAAGATTTAGCATAGTCCTGCCCTTGATTGGATTAGTAAAATAAGATTTTTTCCTTTATTTTTTTATCTGTTCCTTTTAGGTATACATGACAGTAGAGTCTATTTTGACATATCATACATACATGGAGTGCAACTTCCCATTCTTGTGGTTGTACATGATGTGGAGTTTTACTGGTCATGTATTTGTATATGAACATAGGAAAGTTATGTCCAGTTCATCATTCTGTCTTTCCTATTCCCATTTCCCCTCCTCTCCCTTCATTCCCCTTTGTCCAATCTGATGAATTTCTATTTTCTCCCCCTCTTATTGTGAGTCAGCATCCACACATCAGAGAGAACATTCAGCCTTGGGTTTTGGGGATTGGCTTATTTCACTTAGCATGATAGTCTCTAGTTCCATCCATTTACTGGCAAATGCCATGATTTCCTTCTTCTTCATGGATGAATAATATTCCATTGTGTGTATAGATAACACAGTAAAATAAGATTTAATTTTTTTTTCAATTAACTTTAGTGAATATCTATGTCCAGCAAGTGACAGGCCCTAAGCTATATTATTTCATCATTGTGCATCATTTAATTTCATCCTAGAACCAATCAATAAAGCACTATTTTGTCCTCATTTGGCAGAGGAGGAAACTGAAGCTGAGATAGGTACATCAACTGGTCAGCCTACCAAGAAGGGGTGACAGGCTGCCTTGCCCTGAGCATCCACTCTAATCCATAGGGCCAGACTCTAGCCATAACACCCATTTGTTTGTGGGTTGGTCTCAGAGGTTCTTGCAGTATCTGAGTTGGTGCAGTTTGCAACTTTGTGTAAGAATAAGCAGATCTGGAGCCTAAAGGGTAGTAAAGACATCTATTGTCAACCCAGTGACTTTTTACCAGGAGGATTTTTTGTGTCACTGTGTCACATTGTTTCTCAGCACTGTATTCTGGATTTTATTGGGCAGAGTCACAGTGGAGCTCCTGGGCTAGTTCCTGTGCATGTGGTCAGCTGGAACCTCAGGTGACACTTAACAGAGCTTGGGGCCAACTGAGGGGCAGATTCAGGACATTTTCAGCCTCCTTGGGTCTCTGTTACTGTTACTCTCTCCAACATTAATGAGGGACATCTAACAGGACCCCAGAGAACCTACATTCTTGGCTTCAGATGAATCCACCTCCCACTCGTCACCCAGATTCAACTCTTGACCACTCTGGACCTTTCTTCAGCAGGAAAGCTGATGGGAACCTGGGGAGCCTTGGTGGGGAGTAAGAGGTGCACGGACCCCGAGTCTCCCTGTCCTGGAGCATATAGTGAAGACACCTTCCACCAGGAGAAAACGTTGAGGGGAAATTGAGTCATATCCATGCAGGATGAGGGAGTCCTCTCCGACACAGTCCTGCAGGGCACATGACCTTAAACAGGCTGCAATCCGGGGAGCCTGTCCTATTCCTCCACCTCTTGCTCGATGCTGTTGGAGCCCAGCCCATCAGAACCCATCTTTCCAGGTCCAAGGGAAGCCTGTGTGCCTCCAGCGAGCCTCGCCCCGTTTGCCTGGAAACGTCTCCGGTGGTCCAGGCAGAGCAGCCTCCCCACAGCCTTTGGCCCCAGGGTCTTAGTCGCCACTTCTTCCTCTGTAGCATCATCCTGGTTTGATGGGGAACATTTATTATGGAGAGTGAATTTGGAGGAAAAACTTGTAGGGCCTGCAGCTGCCAATTTCTTTTCTTCTAGTGGTGAGGAATGAAGTGAGGCTCAACCAATGGGCAGCACCAAAAATGAGACCACGTGGGTGTTGGCAAGGTGGCCTGGTGAGTAACTCCACAGCAGCTGGGGACTCACAGGGTAAGGGAGGCCTGCACCTGTTGAGCAGGGGCTCTTGTGCATCTCTGTTGCTCTCTCACTTGCAGCATTTTGAACAAAGACAGGGCAGCCGTGTCCTCTGGGAATCAGTGGCCAGGAGGGGCTGGTTTTCATCATGAATTTGTGCTTCTTCCTCCAATGAAAATCATGAAAATGGAGTCTCAGGCCACAGTTACAGCCACCACAGATGGGTAGAGCTCTGGGCTCCAGCCTCTTCCGACCCACAGGGACCAGCCAGGGTCCAGGAGAGTGACTTGTTCAGTGGAGAATCAGGCCAGTTGGATCCTCTGGGGGTAGGTGAGGACCAGTAGGTTCCAGGAGGTGAAGGAGTTCTGAGCAAAGAGCTGGGGGCTTAATTCATGTTTCCAATACTACCTACGTGGCAGAGAATGGAGCTATGTTAGACAGGTACCAGGGGAAAGAGAAGCAATAGAATGGATGGATAGGAGGATGAGGATGGATGGATGGATGGATGGGTGGGAGGATGGATGGATAGATAGATAGATAGATAGATAGATAGATAGATAGATAGATGGATGGATAATTATGGGGATTGACTCATGCAGTTCTGGAAGCCAAGGAGCCTTAGATCTGCCATCTGCAAGCTGGAGACCCCGGAGGGCTGGTGTTGAGACTCAGTCTGAGTCTAAAGGACCAGCAGAGCTGATGGTCCCAGTCTGAGGTCACACACTGAGAACAGCAGGGAGTGGTGGGCAGCTCTGGCATAAATCCCAGAGTCTGAGCCTGACAACCAACAGCCCTAATGTTTGAAGGCAGGAGAAGATGATGTCCCATCTCAAGAACAAAGAGCACGTCTGGGCCTGTGGCTCAGTGGTAGAGTGCTCGCCTAGCGTGTGTAAGGCCCTGGGTTCGATCCTCAGCACCACATAAAAATATACAAATAAAACAAAGGTATTGTGTGCAACTACAACTAAAAATAAATAAATATTTTAAAAAAATAATAAAGAGCAAATTCCCCAGTCCTCCGCCTTTATGTTCTCTTCAGCCCTCCATGGATCGGATGATGCCCACCCACATGGGTGAGGTAGACCTCTACTCAGTCTACTGGTTCCAATGCCAATCTCTCCTAGCAACCCCGCTGCACACCCAGAAGTAACACTTGCTGGCTTTCTGAGCATCCCTGAGACCCGTCAAGTTAGCACCTAAGATCCACCATCACAGAAGTTTACTCAAGTAGCCAGGACAAAGATGAAAGGGCGTTAACTCAATGAATTCCTGGGAAGGCTTGCTTTAGGAAGCAGGGCAGAATTAGGCGGTAAGCCTTTTATAAGGTGGTTCCTGTGAGAGATTTTTAAGAAGTGGGGGCAGCTGTCTCAAGCATGATGTGCCTGGGACCCCTCTGATGGGAAAGCTGGGGTGGGGGAGCAGGGCCTGGCAGGTGGAAGCTCGAACCTCAACATACAATCTCAGCAGCCCAACCGGGAGCTCTGGAGCAGAGACGGCCGATCAGGAAAGTCCTGTTCTGGGTAGAAATAGCCACCACCCTCACACTCTGTCGTGCTCAGTCACTGATTGGGGACTTCCCAGAAGGACCATGGGCTGGGATGACGAGCTGAGGTGAATTCTGAGGACAGAGAGGACTGAAGATCAGTAGTTCACTGTTTTCCTCACAGATGAATGGCTTGGGTTTGGAAGGGAATCCAGGGTGCATTTCCACGGTTCGCAAAGACAGATGGAGATGCAATGTGGCCTCAGGAATATCAAGAATCTATGGTTCATCTGATACCAAGATCCTCCATCTCTCATCCTGCTTTCTCTGAGGTCAGCTCCATCCCCCTCGCTGAAAACCAACCTTGTGCATAAAAGAAATCTGGCCTGTGAAAGCTCCCATGGTTTACTTTTTATGTTTTCTGCTACCCAAGACTCACATACTCTCTGGTCCCAAGTTCCTGGGAAGGGTCTAGGTTCGGGTTCCCCCTGCTGGACCATTCAGCAGGTGCCAGGGACAGGACACTCAGGAGCATGGCAGCTCTGTTGTAGCCACATTAGTGAAGCAGGAAGAAAAAAGAGGCCCTTTTTCCAGAATAATAATTTTTAAAAAATAGTTTCCTACTCCAAATAGTCTACACATCTTGCCTCCATTTCCTCGCTTCAATTAACCCTTCAAACACGTGCCCTGTAAACTCGGCCCCCACCCCTCTGCTGAAGCAACCTTCTAAGGACCACCAGTTCCTTCATAACTAATGAAGCGGGTTGTCCTCTAGAATGTTCAATAGGAGAGCTCTTCATATAAGGCAGGGTCTGGCTGTACCGCCCCAGAGTAGATATTTGAGCCTGTCTGACCAGCTGAGGGCCAATGACCACCTGTTTCTCCTATAAATGAGGCGTGGGGTGGGGGAGATGCCATCCAAGGTAAAACTATGTGACCCCCATCCCCTGATTATAGCTGAGAAAACAAGGGATAAACTCGACCTTTCTTAGCCAATCAGGTGTTCTCTTCCGGGAATCTGAACTGAGGAAGTCAATCAGTTGTGGAATGACTATACCAGTACCCAGTGTGGAAGCTGTGGGGGCCACTGTCACCGCGCTGTGTGAATGAAGACACAGGAAAGCCGGTCCACAGAGGAGGAACCCACAGATGTACCCTGAAAAGATGGGTCAGAAAACAGCCTGCCCGGTGAGGCACGAGTTACAAACTGAACCCCCAGTGCAGGGTGCCACCCAAGGGAGGTGATCAGATAGGAGGGTCTGTCCTTACGGGTGGATTAAGGTCATTTCTGTGGGTTGGATTATTATTGCAAGCTCAGGTTTGTTATAAAAGCAAACTGGGCCCCTTCTCTGTCTCCCCCTGCATGCTCCGCTGCCCTTCTGCCTTCCGGTCAGCACAGGATGGCACAGCATGAAAACCCTCATCAATGCCGCAATCTTGGATTCCTAGCCTCTAGAACCATGATCAAAGACATTTCTGCTTATTGTCGATTACCCAGTCTCAGGAATTCTGTTACAGTAACACAAAATAAAGCAGTTGTTTGGGGTACACCTGCCGAGTAGCTGAAGGGGGGTTATCCAGACTGTGTGTTGCCCTCACTGGGATACAGTGAAGCCTCACACGGATCCACACAGGGAGAAAGAGCCTTAGAAGAACTCAGAAAAGCACCTCGTGAGAGAAAGAGTCAATATTCCAACAGCTCCCACCACACAGAGTATCTCTGTGCCAGATGACAGCAGGGGTAGAAAGAGGTTTTCTTCTCCTTCCCCTCACCCCATCCTTGGGGTGTTCACTGGGGCCCAGGCATGAGGAGTAGGAGCAAAAACACAAATAGACACTGTGGAGACCTGGACCTCTTTCCCATCAGTCAGCACCATGTAGAGATCAGCCCCAAAGGGACCAGGGAGAAGCTTCCAAGCAGACGAGGCATTAAAGTTTTGGTTTAGATCAGGCTGGACTTTGTGATCACTGAAAAGGAGACTGTTCACGCACAAAGTTTAGGGTCCACCTGACACGCAGTCCAGAGTGGGAGCAGGAGATTGCTGACAAAGATGGCCAAGACTCCCCCTCCCCTGGACGCTCACTACTTGATCGTACAAGACTCTCTTCCCACCTCTTGAATCTAGCTGGGGCTTGTGACTAGATTTGATGGAAAGAATATGGCAGAAATGTCGATGTGCAAGATCTGGAGCCAAGGACTCTCCAGCCCTCTTGGAATAGGGAGCTGTCATGTCGAGGCGCCCAGGCCAGCCTCCCTGAGGGAGAGAGAGGGGCCCAGCCCAGGACTAGCTCCAGCCACCAGGAATCAGAGTGGGGCCATCTCGGCCACTCGGGTCTAGTCAAGCCACAAAAGCTAAAGATTACTGCAACTGCAAGAAGGACCCAGGCAAAAAGGCTATCAGCCGAGCCTGGCCCCCACTGCAAACCCGGAGAACCAAAGAAAGGCTTGTTGTTTAAGTCACTCAGATTAAAAGTGATTGTTGCACAGCTGAGAACTGGTGTGGTAGGAAAGACAGAGCTGACAGAATGAGTTTTAAATGATGATGGGCAAAACACCTAAAGTCGCCTCCTGCTTGCCACAGCCAAGTGTATTCATCAACCAACCAGTCACACTGGCACAAGGTGCTGGATGCCTGTAGTGTATCAGGGAGGTTCTAGATATTCCCCACCAATAGTTGAAGGGGTCGTCCATGCCTAGGCACCTACTTGTTCATGTTCCTGGAACTCTCCCTGCTCCCCTCAGCAGCAGCACCCTCTGGACACTACCCACAGAGCCCTGGAAAGCTTTCTGCAACCCCCCAGGAGGCTGCTGCCACGCAGGGCTGAGGAGAGGCCATGACCTTGACTGGCAGTGGAGACAAGGTGAGAGGCACGCAGCCTCTGCTTTGCTTCCTTCCTAAAATGAAGCCACACACAGCAGGGGAGGCCTGGGTCCCGGGCTGCGCCATGCCACTGGGAGGTGGAAAGGATGGTCCGCTTCTCCCTGCCCCTGAACAGGACCTGGAGGTGTTTCCGGAACCCAGGCACAGTCACAGGCAAACACAGAAAGCTGCTAGCAAGGGCTGCCCTGCAACACCATGGAGTTGGTCCCCGTCCATGCCAACTCTGCCCCATGGCACCCCCTCACCTTCTCCAGCCTTCAGTTGTCATACGTGTAGGATGAGAGCAGTGTTTCCCGATGCAGCTAGAGGGACTTTCACGTCCCATGCATGGGTTTAAGGGCAGGCCCCGTACTCTCCAAAATGAGATATTATTCTTAAAGGAGTGTCCATGTTTATTGCAGCCCTATTCACAACAGCCAAGGTGCCTGTCAACAGATAAATGGGTAAAGGGTAGTATATAAACACAGTGGGATATTATTTGGCCATAAAGAAGATTATTCTCCTGTCATTGACAGCAAAATGGGGGGAACTGAAAGACATGATGTTAAGTGAAGTAAGCCAGATGCAGAAAGGCAAGTCCTGCAGGTTCTTTCTCATATACAGAAGTTGGAAAAGTGGACCTGAATGTAGACTAGTCATTGATCCAGGTTGGGAAGGGTGGGGGGATGAGAAGGGTGGATTTGACCAGTATGTGCTGTACACATGTGGAAACGTCACACTGAACCCCACTGATTCGTACAATAACACAGGTTAATAATTTTAAAACGTGTCTGATGGTCCATGAAAGTTTATAAACTGCTGACCTAGAAAATTCCCAGGACTCACAGGCACAGTGGTGGACACCTCTAATCCCAGCAACTTGGGAAGCTGAGGCAGGAGGATCCCAAGTACCAGGACAGCCTCAGCAACTCAATGAGACTCTGAAAGGTAAAAAGGGCTGCCATGTCGCTCAGTGGTAAAGCACCCCCCGGGTTCAATCCCCAGTACAAAAAAAAAGAAAGAAAAAATCCTGGTCCTCTCCACCACGGAGCCTGCCAGAGGCGACAGGGCTGGAAGGGCCCATGCAGGAGGGGAGCAGCATCTAAAAACCCAGACAGGGTAGGAAGCGAGGCCCACTGTTCTGGAGAGGACCTGGGGAGGTCACAGCCCCCTCTGGAGACAGCCTCACCCACCCCAAATCCAGCCCGGGTGGAAAGACCCCGAGGGGCACAGGGGTGACACTGGAGGGTCTCCTGAAAGCCCTCCAGTGAGACCTGGGTGGGGGGGGGAGAAATTCCTGCAGGAGCAAGGGGCTCTGAGCCCTAGAGAGCGCTGTCCTGTGGGACTGGAGGAGAGCCCCCTTCTGGGTTCTGCAGAGCCAGAAATAGAATCCAGTTTGCGATGCCCCTAATGACATTACATAATGACATTACATAAGCCCATTACGTAAATCAAAGTCCCTCCATTGACAAGAATGTCCCTGCCCCGAGGCTGACCTAATCCCTTGCCTGAGGGCTCTGTCCCTGTCAGGGCAGTTGTAAGAATCTGTGTCCCGCAGCCCTTGTCCACACAGGCTTGGGGCTCTTCCTCCTCCTGCTGCCCCAGGCAGCTTCTCTACCCTCTTAGTCTTGGTCAGGCACCACGCGGCCTCTTCCAGGCCACTGTCCCAAAGAGCTCCGCAGAGGGCGAGTCCTGGGCATCCACCCTCCTCCTCTGAGGACTTTTTATTCCCCTGACTGAAATGGAACAATTGTCTCTGATTACAGAAATTTCAAGAATCAATGGGCGAGGAGCAGTTTCAGTCTTCCCGTGGGCGTAGAGGGAGCCTGAGGCCCTGAAATTCATCCTGATTTTGGGGAAGGATCCTGAGTCCTTGGGGCAGAAGGAAACTTTCCCTCCGAGAGGCCCTTGTGTCTGCAGGCCCCTCCCTCTCCCTCCAGACAGGGTGCAGAGCCCACCCCCCAGCCCTCCTCCCACCACCCACCAGCTCCCCTCCAACCCTCTTACCTCAGAGGCAACCTCACCCCATGGGGCTGTCTCCCTCCTCCCTCCATGTGCATCACAGAGACCCTTGCACGCCCACACAGTTTTCAGTCTGTCTCCTAAAAGGTCCAGCGGTTACTGTCGTGTCCAGGCCATCTTACTATAGAGAAGAAAACGTCAGTCTCAAGATCACTTGTAGAAGAAAGTAACACAAATAGAGCAAAGCAAAATGCTTGTCCTCTTCCGGGTTGTTGGAATGGCACTCTGCATCTCCAAAGCCAGCTCTTCTGGCACAGCAGGGTCAGGTGCCAGAGCTCCTGCTGGTTCCTCTGATGGTGCTGAGCTGGCCCAGCCCCCGCCCTCCCGACACAGGAGCATTTCAGCCCCTCCTCCTGCAGCCTCCACTCAAGTTCCAGATCTCACTCAAGGTCCCTGATATGGGTGGAACTGCCTCCCCCAAAGAGATGTGGCGAAGTCCTAACTCTACCCCCACCTGTGAGTGGGACCCTATTTGGAAAGAGGGCCTCTGCAGACGCGATCAAGTTGAGATAAGGTTGTTAGGAAGGCCCTCACTCACTATGACCAGTGTCCTTATAAGAGGAAAAGAGACACGGAGTGTCAGGTGAGGCCAGCAGACCTGGCAGTGAGGTGCCGCAGGGGAAGGAGAGGTGGGGAAAGGAGAGGGACAGGTGCCCCTAGAACCTGCAGGGGAGCGTGTGTGGTCCTGCCCACCACAGTTACAGACCTGGCCTCCCCTCCCTGACACCTGTCATGGTGAGCACCCGCCTTGTGACACTTGGCAAGGGACCCCAGAAGGTGCACACAGTGCTGCCAGGCACAGCCACCCTGTGCACGGGGCAGATAGCAGAGGGCAGAGGGGCAGGAGAATTCCAGCAATTCTCAGACACTGAAGCTTGGTGTTCTGCCCGGGTGGGGTAGTGTCCCCTATCCGTAACACATGGGGACTCTTCCCAGGTTCCCACCCACACATTCCATGAACACAACCCGAGATTCGCCACCTTCCTCCTTCCATGTCCTCCTCTGCCCTGCCTGGTGTCCCCCCAACATCATCTGCCAGGACACCAGTCACCTTTGCCCAATGCCTCTGTTTGGGATGTCACAGCATACATTTCCCCCTGCCTGGCAATTCTAAATGTTTGAAACAGTGGCTGAGGTCCAAGCCTTGACACGGACGGCACCTGTGCCCTGGGGTGTCTCTGCCATTGACTCCTGGAGGTGAGGCCTCAGCCCAGCCACAGTGGCCTTTTCTCAGGTCTCTTCCACCCCCGCCCCCCACTGGCTACTTGTGGTCCTGGTGTGGAGGAAGGAACACTCTCTCCTCTCCCAGGAGACAGACACCTGCATGCTGCAGGTTAGTGGGACTAGGTGGCCTGGCTGGCTGGATACCCAGTCCCAAGAAGCCTGCAATCCTGGCAAGTTAACTGTCTCCTCAGAGACGCCTCCTGACCCACCAGGCATCATTCATGGCTTTTTGCTCCGCGTTGCTTGACCCTTTTTTATACTCCTGTCACACTCTGACCCACTGGACCCACCCACGAGTCTGTGAGTGCTCTGTGAGGCTCCTCTCCACCAGGGGACAGTAGAGTCTGGTGTTGAAAAGTCCCTGCTCTAGGGAAATGCCAATCAAAACTTCCATGGGATGCCACCTCACATGCATAGGATGGCCACTATCAAGTGTTGGCCAGGATGTAGTGGTCCCCCTGTCCTCAGGGGTAGGTTCGAAGACCTCCAATGGGTGCCCGGAGCCATGGATAGTGGTGAACCTTATGTATACTGTGTTTTTCTCTATATATACATATCCATGGTAAAGTTCGATTTGTAAATTTGGCACAGTAAGAGATTAACAACAATAACAAGCAATAAAATAGTAGAATTATAATAATATACTGTCATAAAAGTTATATGAATGTGGTCTCTCTTTTATTATCTTACTGTATTGTGTTGACCCTTCTTGTGATAGTATTAAAAGGAAGTATTTTATAGCCTCTTTGGGGCATATCCGAATTGCCAGAATCACTAGTCTTGTACTTCATGTCCATTATTACGTAAGGCTCACTTGAACACAAGCACTATAATACCACCACAGTTGATTCAGTGATGGAGATGGCTACCAAGTGGCTAACGGGTGGGTAGCATATATATTGTGGATACACTGGACAAAGGAATGATTCACATCATGGAAAGGGTGGGAAGGGAGGTGTGGGATTTAATCACATACGAAGAACACTGCACAGTTTAAAACTTATTAACTCTTTATTACTGGAATTTTTCACTTAATATTTTCAATCTGTGGTTGATCACAGGTAGCTGAAACTTCAGATAACTGAAACCACAGAAAGTAAAGCCATAGATAATGTGGTAGGGGACTACATAATTGGAACACTTGAGCACTGCTGTAAAATGGTATGGCCACTGTGGAAAACAGTGTGGTAGCTCCTCAAAAAATTAAAAATGGCATTACCATATGATGTAGTAATTTCACTTCTGGATGTATTTTCAAAAAAGCTGAAAACAAGGACTCCTGTTCACCGCAGCATTATTCACAACAGCCTTTAATTGGAAACAACCCAAGTGTCCATTGACAGATGAATCAGTAAACAAACAGTATTACAGATGTACAATGGAATATTACTCAGCCTTAAAAAGAAAGGAAATTGGGTTTGATCACCAGCACTAAAATAAATAAATAAATAAATAAAAGAAGGAAATTCTGATACATGCTACAACATGGATGGAACTTAAAGGCTTTACTCTAAGTAAAATAATCCAGACAAGTATTATGTGATCCCACCTATATGAGATACCTAGACTGGTCAAATTCATAGAGACAGGAAATAGAATGCTGTTTGCCAAAGGCAGCACGAAGGGGAGAATGAAGAGCTGCTGTTTAATGGGTACAGAGTTTCAGTTTTTTAAACTGACGCTAATAACTGTACACACTGATGGGGTGTGATTTTTTGGTGCACACACACAATGTGTGAAGATCTGAGTAATCATCATACTTATCACCTCCAATATTTATTAGTCCTGCAGAGGAAGGTTTTCTCTGCACTGACACTAAGCACGATAAGTCCTTCTTCTCCCTAACCTACAGTTACAAACAGCCGACCTCTTGTGTCCTGAGCCCACGGCACAGTGGTCTTGTGTTGATTCTGGGTTCCTGTGCCTCTTCCTTGTCTGTTCCAGTCCTAGCACCCTTCAAGATTCCCCCAGGATCCCTCCTCCCTTCCTAAACCACCCCTGTCCACTCCTGAAGAATAGGAGGCAATACATAGACCCAGCTCACTACACATGATGGTCTAGGTGGATCATGAAACCCAGCCTTCTCCTCCAGCTGCAGCCTGGGTTTACCAGTCAGAGACTATGGCTCTTACTTCAGCCTCCCACAGCACCCGGCATGCAGGGCCCATAAGTGAGCCACAAGTGTGTCATACATCTGAACAATCAACTCCAGGGCACATGAGCTTTTGTTCTGTTCTCTACATTTGCATAGGGCTGGGTCGAGTTGAAAGCTCAGTCAATCTTTATGAGTGACAGATTAAAACGCCAGAGTTTCCTCCCCGCCTGAGTCAGTCAAGTTGGACACACCTGGATGGAATCTTTCTGACTTAGTTTTGCAGATGTCTCCTCTTGACGTTGAACCCTGCAGACAAAGAGAGAGGAGATGCGGGAGATTGGGTCACCCAGGAAGATTCTTGCGTCCTATGAATCACGTGACAGGTTTATTTCACTAGAGTCTGGATAGAGTATTGCTAAAGTCTTCTCACTTCACTTTGCTCCACCTCCACCCCTGCCAAACACCCTCTCCACCCCTGCCAAACACCCTCTCAATTACCGATTAGTTCCCCAGACATGGGGTCACATAGATGGGAAGCAGCATTCCGGGCATCTTTCCAACACAATGCAATCCATGGCCCGTGTGGCTTATTGCAAACACACAGGCTGGCTCGTTCACTGACCACTTCCCCTCCTCCTCAAATTGAAAAGGCAGCAGCAACTTGGGGAGCTAAGTTTATGGATACTTTGGGTGCCTGTTAATTGGTGCCTATGTGCTAAGGAGCCTGATGAGCCTAGGGATGAGCTGAAAATCCCAAACCGGCAAGAGACATATGAACTAGAACTCTCTATGAACTAGAACTCTGCTCCAGTCTCTGGGCTCCTAACCTCCCACAGAGGAGGGCCGTGCTGTCTTCTGTCGTTTCCCACCTCTGCCCATCGAGACAGCCAGCAGAACACTATGGGCTGAGTTACATTTCAGATTCCTCCCATCTTGCATATCTAAATCAGAAGGAGGTTAGAAGACTAGTGTGGGTTGAAAGAAGGGAGGGACCCAGAGAAAGGACACAGAAGAGATAATGTGTCCACTGGACACGAGTGAGTCCCTGGCTATCAAATATCAAGAGCACCTGAGTCTATGGCCGTGCAAATCCTGGAAACTAACAGCAAAGAGATAGATGACGCCCAGCTCACACCTCCGAGATGGGTGGCAGTGTGTGCTGTGATGTGAACATGGTTTGTCTCCTCCCAAACTCAGAGTGAAACGTGATTAACACCGTGGTGCTGGGAGGCGATGCCTTCAGGGAAAGATTAGGTCTTTTAGAGAGATCAATGCCTTTCTCACTGGGTTGATGCTCCTCTCAGTAGAGAGTTCCCTGTCTTGTAGGACTGGCTTCAGTCACTGTGAGAACGGTCATTACAGAACAAGGTTGCCTCTTGTGTTTGGAGCTTTTCACAAACATCCACTTGCCCTTCTGGCTTCTGTCAGGTTATGAAGCAGCATGGGGCCCTCACCAGTGTGGCCAACTGATGTTGGGTTCCCAGGAGCCAAAATAAATGTCTTTCCTTTTTAAATTACCCAGTCTCAGATATTGCATTGTAACAACAGGAAGTGGACTACATGCATTTGTGTCTTTGGGATGCAGAGAACTGAAGATCCTGATAAAAACTAAGTCATGGATAAAGACTTAGGTTGAAGCCTAGTGGGGTCAACCCCCCCCCCCCCCCCGTGCTTCTTATCTGCAGTGGCTATTATAATCCAGGGGAACTTGTTGGATATCTACATTGGGTGAGTGAATTTGGTAATCTCCCTCACGTTCAAGAGATGGAACAAAGTTTTCTAACCTGTTAGGAGAGACAGGAATGCAGAGGTCACCATCAGCTACCAGGACCACCAGGCAGAGCTTGGTCTCTCCCTTTCTTTGCTGTGCACCAATCCAAACTCAAGCTATGCTGTTCCACATTTTACCCATCTCCTCCTCAAGGTCTGTCTGCTCCCTCGGGTGTTCAAAGTCCTTGGAAAGCCGTCAGCATTATGTTCAGTCATGGACATAGACGTCTCATCTCCACCAGAAGGAAAGTTCCTACGGATAGGTGTCTGTGGTCTATACCTGGCCTAGTACATACTGGGCACACAATGGCCACTCTATACTCATTACCTACGTTTTTGTGTGTGTGTGTGTGTGGGCGGGGGACAATATTAGGGAAAAGTAAATAAACTGCAGCTAATTAATAAAAAATTCTTTTCTGTATGAAAAAAGCAAATTGGCGCTTTGCTTCTCAGAGCACTGTGACATACTGATATGGGATTCTAAAGTAAATAGTTTGTGCCAGGATAGTTGGACCTGGGATGGCTCATACCTAGGGTGGCATGGGGTATGTGCTGATTCCAATGAGACCACTATCGATGGCATCTAGAACTCCTACAGAAAGCCTCCAGGAACCTCAGCCCTTCACTGCAGACAGGGCACATTTTTTGAGACACACATCTTCTGTTTGGGTCCCCACCAGGCTTGACACTAAGCATATGGACTATTTGTAAACAAGTTCAAAGGACAAAGATATGCCTTGTCCTTTGCGAGAGGGCAAAATCCTGGAAATATCTGGCACGTGGTAGGTCTCACCGAATACACAGGATCTCAAAGCTGTTCTTACTCAAGAATTCCAGAATGTTTAGAGAAGGAAAGGCATTAGTATCACCAACGCAAATGTTGTTTTCCTGTGTTTGAATTGGAAAGTCTGTGAGATTACTTTTCAGCGGAATCACAAGTCACTGCCTAAAAAGACAGGTAGGCAGTTTCAGAGACAAAAGCCAGCCAGGCCTTAGGAGTGGCGAGACTCCCATCCCTCAGTCCAAGGAGACGGGCTTCTACTGCCAAATCTTCTAATTTTCATAAGAGGAGCTAGAAGCTCAGATTTTTATGTGAAATTTCCAGATATTTAAAATATCCTGGGGGTGCTTTTTTATGGCCACCCCTACATTAACCAGGAGTCACCTACTCATTCATGACTGCAGCTAATTAATAAAAAAAAATTCTTTTCTGTATGAAAATAGCAAATTTGCGTTTTGCTTCTCAGAGCACTGTGACATACTGATATGTGATTCTAAAGTAAATAGTTTGTGCCAGGATAGTTGGACCTGCATTCATGCCCCACCCCACCCCCCCTGCCTTACAGCAAAAGAGGCTTCCCATCTAGCATCCAGCCTCATCTGTATCCAGGTCCCATCTTCTCCACCTGCTCTTGGACCTGGCTTTTGTGACCTGCCACTGCATTCTGAGTTTGCCCCAGCGCCGATGCTGTTCTCACCTTCTGCCAATGATCACCTGGACGTGAATCCCAGGAATCTGATGTCCTAACTCCTGTGACCTCTCCTCAGTTGTCCTGCTTCCTGCATCCTGACGCTCTTTCCTTGGCTCCTTCATTGTCCCCTCTCGGGGTCTTCCTTTCTATTCTCTGACACCCTCCAAGTTCCCAATCTTCTTTATAGGATTCTCTCAATGTCATCCCCTAATCCTGATGTTCCAAAGGGTTCTGATCCAGGCCTCCTCTTTTTCACTTCACATTGAATTCTTTGAGGAGCTCACCCATACCCCCACAATTTTCAAAACACATGGATGGTTCTCAGGCCCACCTGTCTCCATTCCAGCCCTCTCCTACCCTCAGCACCTGTATGATCTATTTCTAATGGGTCACACCAATTCAGCAGGTGCAAGATTGGTCACCCAGCATGCTGCTCCTCCTCCTGGGTAACCCTTCTTGAGGGCAAGTCACTGTCATCTACTTAGTTCCTCAAGCAGAAATCAGGCCAACCTCACCAATGTCCCCACTCCTCCTCAAGAAGTCTTATACCATTTGCCTATTAAGTATCTCCTGAAATCATCACTTCTCCATCCCATCTGACAAAATCATGGTCCAAGGTCACCACTACCTGGCACATGGACAACTGAAGTGCAGGCCTCCAGGCTCACCCTTCAGCCCTAATCCTTTCATGTGAACATGGCCACATCCCTGCCCTGCCTAAACCCTGCTGTGGTCCCCCACTCTTTGGATAGATTCTAGACTCCTGCACATGCACTAAAGGCTTTCTAGCTCTCAGGCACCTCTCTGGCCTCTCATCCCCTCCAGCCATGCTGGACCTTGCTTGACTTCCCACATACTATCCTCTCCCACGTGCACCTGGCTCCACCTCCTGCTTCCCCTGCCTTCTTCACACCTCACTTCAGCAGCACCCTCACCCATCCAACCTCCCTTGGCTTCCCCTAGACCTTTAGATGTCCTTACTATGCACTCGCAAAGCCTCTGTGTATACCCTGCGATGGCACTTACATTGACTGTGAGCTCTGTGAGGACAGGGTCCCTGCTCTCTTGCTGCATGTTGTTCCCCGTGCCTAGTGCCATGCTTGGAACACAATGAGCACCCATTAAATGTTTGCTAGGGTTATTTTTTGGCACTAGTGATTTTAAACCAGGAAGGGTCTCAGCCCTTGTCAATATCAATTCTCATTTTAATGAGAAAGCCAAGGTCCAGAGGAATAAACACAGGGCTCCAAGTCCCCTGTGACACAGAGGAGCAGTCAAACCTAAGACTACTCATTCCTAAATCTAGTGCCCCATTCCCCTGCCCTTCCCCTCCATGCCAGCCAGCCCCAGCTCACACAGCTGCCTGGGCTGGGCAGATGCAGTTAGGGAGGCTCCTGAGCAGGCGCCCCTCACCAGGAGAGCACCTGGTGGAGAGTGTGCAGCCTTCATTCCTCACTGCCCAAGGCGGCCACAGGTGAGGCTACTGTTGGGAAGCCCCTTGGTCTCTAGGGAATGACCAAAGGCAAGGGGCCCCTCTCTGCCTTCCCTTCAGCCCTAGTCTTCAGTTCCTGGCATGTGGGGAATGGAATGTGCTGGAAGATCTCGTTCTGCCAAATTTCTGAACTAGAAGCAAGAACCAGGGTAGCATATAACATTTGATCTGGAAAAGCCAATTAACGGCAGGGGGCTAAATGCAACCATCCCGTGACAAAAAGGGAAGAGGCTTTTCCTGCGCATGGAGGTGGGGAGGGGATGGAGGAGTCAGGCTTGCCTTCCCCAGCTCAGGTAACAGTCCCAGAACTGCAGATTAGAACTTTAATACCACTTGAAGTACACAGATTCTTTCACTCTGGGTAGAGGTTCTCCACCCAGCCGGCTCTTGACCCAGGAAACGTCTGCTTTCCCACATGAGTCGCAGGCGTTCTCTCTGCACTATCTGTGTCGTGCACGCCAAAGCTGGGTAGGCTTTGCGGACATCTCCCTACGCTGAAGACAGGACGGTGGCCAAAGGAATGCAGGCCTCCGGCAGCAGCCCAGGCCCTCTGGCGCACAATTCTCTGGAATCTGTGAGCAAAGGAAGGATCCTAGTGAGAATTGGGCTCAGAAGAAGAGCGGGGGCGGTGCCACCTCTGTTGGAGCCGGCCAGGCTGGGGCGGAGAGGTCGGTCTCTGAGGCCTGGTGCACCACTTCGCCGTGGATGCGCTGGTGCCGCACCAGGTGGGTCTTACGGCTGAAGCTCTTGCCACACTGAGGGCAGGAGAAAGGGCGGGAGCCGGTGTGGATCGCTTGGTGGCGGACCAGGTTGGTTTTGGAGCTGAAGCTGCGGGCGCAGATGGCGCAGGCGTGGGGGCGACTGCCTGTGTGCACCGCCTGGTGACGGCCCAGGTGCGACTTGCGGCTGAAGCGGCGGCCACATTGAGCACAGGCGAAAGGCCTGGCGCCGCTGTGGGCCCTGGAGTGGGCGACAAGATTGGGCCGCGAGCCAAAGCGGCGACCGCACTGCGCGCAGGCGAAGGGCCGTTCGCCCGTGTGCACTCGCCGGTGCCGCGCCAGGTGCTGTCCGTGGGCGAAGCCGCGCCCGCAGTCAGGGCAGAAGAAAGACCTTTCGCCCGAGGGGGTGCGCTGGGGCGTCACTGTGCCCGACGCAGGGCCGCAACTTGGCCCACAACTTGGCCCACGGGGCACGCAGGCTGAGGGTTCAGCGGCGGCAGCAGGGTCCACGGTGGCTCCCAGTGCGCAATCGTCGCACCCAAAGGAGCGACCTTCGCTGCGGTGCAGACGCTGGTGTGAGGCGAGGTTCTTTTTCCAGCCGAAGCTCAGGCCACAGTCAGAGCAGGAGAAAGGTTTCGGTCCAGGAGGGGACGGGGTGGAGGACTCTGCGGGGGAATGCGGCGAAGAAGGCGCGTCGGGAGAGGGCTGGGCTCGACTAGCTGCTTCGTGCACCCTTTGGTGCCGCACCAAGTGCTGCTTGTGCGTGAAGCTGCGTGCGCACTGCGTGCACTGATAGGGCCTCTCGCCGGTGTGGATGCGCTGGTGCCGGATCAAGTGCGTCTTCTTGCGAAAGCGCTTCTCACACTCAGTGCAGGGGAAGGGCCGCTCGCCTGTGTGGGTCTTCTGGTGCGAACCCAGGTGTATCTTTTGGCTGAAGCGCTTGCCGCACTCGGCGCACGGGTAGGGTCGCTCGCCCGTGTGTGTGCGCAGGTGGCGGGTCAGGTGGGCCTTCTTGCTGAAGCGCTTGTCGCACTCAGAACACGGGAAAGGCCGTTCCCCGCGGTGGCTGCGTTGATGCAGCAGCATGTGGGCGCGCTGAGTGAAGCTGCGGCCGCAGTCCGGGCAGGCGCAGGGGCCCTCGCCCCGGTGCAGCCTTTGGTGCAGCCGCAACGTCAGCTGGTCCCGGAAGCGCCGCTCGCACTCCCCGCAACCATATGGCTTCTCCGGGATCGGGGCCCACCCGGACAGCGCGATCCCGCCTAATGCCCCCGTGGCCCCTGGCTCCAGTTTGTATGCAGCAGCCAGATGTCCCAGTTCAGGCGCTGGGAAAGGGCTGGGAAGTAGCGAGAGATGCTGGGGCCATTCGACCGCCTCTCCTGCCTCCGGTTCCTCATCCTCCACCTTCACCTTCCGAATCATCCATTCGTCTCCTGAATGAATAGTCAAAAAAAGAATTGTCTAGTAAGCTCAACGCCAGTAGTACTGCCTCCCAGGAGCCCAGCAATCTGGCTTCTGTTCTCTCCACTCTACCCCAAAAGTTTCCGGGAATGACCAAATCCCAAACTCTTCTCATTCTCCTCCTGCTCTGCAGCCTGCCAAGCTGATGAACACCTGCCCCCTTCCGTGACTTTTCTCCCAGGCTCTGGGTGGCTGCCCCAGATCTTGCTGTCCAGCAAGCTCCTTTCTGGAACCGTGTCTCCAGTTGAGTAGCTCCCCTGGGTGTCCCAAAAATCGGCTGCAGCTCTGCAGGTTTGTTGCCAAACACCTGACCTTCCCACACCTATCCTTGGCTGGTGTTAACATTAGAACAGTATATCTTCTCCCAAAAGGAGACCTTTGGGCCTTGACACCTCCTGCTCTCTACCTTTGTCTGGCCACAGAGTACCAGGGCACCCTAAAAGTCAGTTCCTTCATCTTAACTGCTCCCCCTGCTGCTCCCTTCAGTTTATAGGACCTGGGTAATTGGTGAATGTTGTCAGCCTCTCCAGAAGCAGGGAGGGCCCTGGGGAGAGCCTTGGCCCAAAGGCAGGATTGAGTTCCTGAGGAACTCTCATAAATGCATCTGTAGGAGAAGGGCCCATGGATCTGTTTTCTCTCTTTAAAGCCCCCAGAAGATCCCCAGTTCTGCTGGAGAACCATTGGACCAAATGATCTGAATTCCTCTCTGGCCCTTAAAGTCCTTCACAGCCCAAGCCTTGGTTACATTACACAGGGACTGCTACAAGTACATCTACTCCCAGTTTCTTCCATTAATCTATTGTTTCCAAACAACTGTCTATTGATCATACTGTGATATGCCTCACATTTTCATTGTGTCACTCTTCTATTCAAGAACCATCAATAGGTTATTTTTCCCCCCAGGATTTAGCCAGTTGTAGGTGCATCTGAGGCTCACTCAGATCTACTCCAACTTTCTTCTTTTAGGTGAGAATGCTTTATTTCCACCACACTGCTCTCCTTCAACCCCATTTACATGTCACCTTTTCTGCTTCAAAGTCCTTTCTCAGTCTAGACTGTCTCTCCATTCTGCACCCCAGCCAGCTTCTGAGCTGAAGTCTATGCCTCTCTCAAGATGCATTACAAAGCAACATTTTTGACAGATCCAGTCAAAATAAGGATCTCTCACCCTAAACTTCTATAGCACTGACACTTCTTTTCCTATTTGCAACTCTTATATTGGTTCTTTTAATCTTTCATCTTGGTTAACACTGATGCCATCTCAATTACATGTTAGCTTCTGGAAGAGTAGATACATTGTATTATAAATGTATAATAAAATGAGCATTGCCATCATTTATGGAGGGCCAACTATAGATGAAACACTAGCCATACACCATTATAAACCTCACAACAACCATGAAGTTATTGTTATCCTTGTTTATAGATGAACAGATCACAAGGTCCTGGAGAGGGGGTAGTCCATCCTAGAGTGCTCAGTGGGTAAGTATGTCTGTACACCTCTAGGGCCTATCTCTTCCTACCACACTCAGCACAGTCAGTGCATAGTAGGGACTAGATAAATCTTTGTTGGATAAATGTCACTGTTATTATTTAGATGTGATATCCCCCAAAAGCTCATATATGAGACAATGCAAGAAGGTCAGGAGGAGAAATAATTGGGTTATATCTTAACCTAATCAGTGAATTAGTCTCTGATGGAATTAATTGAGTGGTAACTGGAGGCAGGTAGGGTGTGGCTGGAGGAAGTGGTTCCTTGGGGACAGGGCTATAGGGTATATATGTTGTATCTGGAGAGTGGAGTTTCTGTTTCCTGATCATCATGTAAGCTGCCTCCCTCTGCCAACTCTTCTGCCATGATGTTCTGCCTCATCTTGAGCCCCGAGGAATGGAACCTGCTGTTATGAATTGAGACCTCTGAAGCTGTGAGTCCCCAATAAACTTTTCATCCTCTGCAATTGTTCTGATCCTTTAGTCACAACAGCAAAAAAAAAAAGCTGACTAAAACAGTCAACCAAGCAAGAGGTGATGAGGTAGTAGCAGGAGAAAGAAGTGATGGGTAGGTTTAGGTACAGGAGAGATGAGTTTACTATAATAGTCTTGAAGAACTTGGTACCAACAAGATCAGTGATGGTTTGGGGAGAAGAGAATGTAGGAGAGAGACAGTGGAAAAGTTGATCCACATCCTTTATCTTCATGGCAACTGTAATTCAGGTGATCAACAGCCTAAGATTAGACCAGGGAAGATGAAGAGGGGAAGTTAGGACTTCTAGCAAGGTTTGAAACAAGGTATATTTCTCTTCGGTGATGAGCCTCTTCGGTTCCATAGTCTATAGGGTGTAATTCTTTTTAGGTGTCGGAGTTCTACAGCAGAAAGGGTCCAGGGTCTGAACTCTTCTTGATTGGAAGGGCCTGGAGTAGCTGTCTCTCAAGGGAATGGGGTTTGTGAGGCCTCTTGGTGGATGGAGCAACAGGAAGACTCACCTGAGCAGGAGCCCACAGGCTCAGCCTTCTGTGGAGTACATGCCTGTCCTTCTCTGCTGGGAGCCTCAGCTTGTTCTGTCTGGGCTCCTTCCTCTGGACCAGGGGCTTCATGCCCTGGGAGAGAAGAGGAAACCTCAAGGCCTCCAGAAGCATCACAGATGGATGAAGGTCCCCACTGCAGCTAGGAAGCAGGGACATCTGAAACCCCAGCCCATCCCCACCCACAGGACTCTGTCTCCCATCATACCTGCAGGGTCTGAATTCCCAGCTGCCCCCGGGGAAACCTCAGGCTCCTCTAAGCAGGGCAGCTGCTAAGGGTGGGCAGGTTGCAGGAGCCATAAGTGAGGAATTTCTGGAATATGTGTATGTGAGGTAGTGAAAGCAAGGAAGGGCCCCTGACCTGAGGCTTACCTGAGGCTCCTAACAGCAGGACTATACTTCCCAGACCCCTGAGGGACCCCAGGTCCAAGGCAAATCATTGGTAAGGATCAGAATGTTGAAGCCAGGCCTGTTCCTGCCTTAGCACTCCATCCTGGCTGCCGCTACCTGATATTCCCTTAGCCACCTCCCTAACCTCTTTCAAATCTTGCTCCAATTTTTCCTTCCCAGTGAGGCTTGTTCTTCACCCTCAGTGAAGGGGACCTTCAGTGAAGGGCCTCATCCCTACCTGTAGCCCTTCACTGTGCTTTATTCTCTCCTGCACAGCATTTATCTTCTAAGGTAGCTTATCATTTCTCTTGCTTTTACATTTATTGTTAGTTGATTCTGAACACTCTAGGATTAAGCTCTTTGAAGGTAGGGGTTATTGGTCCTGATGGAATTCTAAATTGTCTAGAATAGCAGTCACCATATAGTAGGTGCTTAACAATATGTGGTGAAAGGAAGGAAAATTCCTTCCTGAGACATCCTACATGGTCCCCATTTACATACCTGAGCTTGTACCCAGTGCTCTCTCTTCACTGGAGGAGGACATCTGCCCCTGGACATTATGAGACCTGTCCTTGGGCTCACTTTGGGGGGCCATCTCTGGCTGTCCCACAGAGAATCCTATTACAGATAGAAGAATGGTTCCAAGTAAACCATACTGTACAGAACTGATGATCAGAAGTGGGGCCCTCCCCTTCCTAGCCTGCTCAAGGATAGGGCTTCCCAATAATAGTGATAAGAGACAACAGCCCAGGCTCCCCAGCAGTCTGACCAGGTATCAATCTCAGCTCCTTTGAGATTAATCAAAGATAGAAGGAAGAAACAGAATAGCTTTAGAGAGAATAAGTTTAAGTCCCAGTGCTGAGTGAGTCCCCATATACACTTGCAGTTTAGCACAACTTCCCTCCTCTGGGCATTCAAACATACGTGGTGACCTGAAAGGATGCTGTCCTACAGGCCCCTAGGGCCTCTGGCTCCAGGGCTCAGCCTCTGGAAGAACTCTACTCTATGCCTTGTAGATGCCCCCTAATCCCACCCCACCCCCAAGTGCCTTCAGTTCTCTCACCCAGAGAGCTGAGGGCCTCCAAAGTCTCTCTCATGGCAACAGGGAGTAGCCCCTCCTGGGGACCAGGTCACAGACCCTAAGGAGAAAAGACTGCTGTCAGGTTCCTCCTGCCAGTTTCCACCTGGGTCTAGTATAGCAGCCACCATATAGGTTGGGCAGGAAGCTCTGTCCAATCTCTCTCTCCTAGCTCTTCCCAGGAGCTCCAAAGGTGATGTCCCCAAACAGGTGAGGGAAATAAGGGAGTATGAATTTAAGAGCAGAGACCTTTAAAGATGGGGGGCCCAAGAAGAAAGGCTTGAAGCCATTTCTGCAAGCTCTGGTTGACTCTGGAAATCAGTTCACCCACCTACCCACCCTTGCCTGGCAGGTCTCTCCAGCCAGCCCCAGTTCATTGGCAGCCCCACCCCAAGCACACCCCCAGTGTCCTTGCCTGGGGACTGGCAGGAACCATTCTCTGGGGAGAGGGTGGAGGGTGGGAAACCAGGGTGGGGAGTGGGAAACTTCATTTCCTGGGTCCTCCAGCTGTCACTGCAGGAGATGGTGAAACAGGAGCCAGCCGGCAGGGGAGGGAGTGTCAGTTTAGGACTAGGTGGGGGCTCCCCATCAGAGAAGAGTCCTCGTTAGAGGTAGGAAATGGTCTTGGCTTCTCCAAAAGCCCCTACTTCAAAACCACTCCCTTCCCCATGAGGCTGCTCTGTGCTAGGACACCCCCAGGCCAGAACACCCCTCCTG